TGACTGCTTACCTCCATGTGGACGGCTTTTCTGATGTTACCAGTTTGTTTGGTGACTCGATATGTATGTTTGCAGACTTGAGATTCAGAGCAAACTAGACCATGACAACGGGGTTTGAGTCTGGCAAAGGATGGTTTTAGAAAGTGGGCCAGACAAAAACAAAATCTGAAAACATGGTAAAAATCAGGCGAGGGCTTTTCTTTTTCTGGATTGCTTTTTAAAACACTGCGTTTGGGTTTAGGGAAGCAGGTCAATCTGTGCTATTGAAAACACTATGGGTTGGGTTTAGGAAAGGAGGAGGGTGGGGGGATCAGTTGGTTGGTCAGTCAGTTGACAGAGGCCTCTGGTGGATTTACGCGAGAACAGCAGGTGCGAATGGCACTCATGAGAGAAATTTGAGATCTGAAAAAGCAAACACAGTGGCCTCTGGTTGATTTGTGAAAACAAAAACTGCACAAAAAACATAGCTCCTGGGATGTATTTTATTCTCCAGAAATGTATATAGGAGTACATATTCAGAATAAACCTGAGTGGTTCTTCTGTGTGGATGTCGGCCTACGCTTTATACATTTTCCATTAAGCTTGCCTAAGTTTGTTTTTGTTGGATTACATCTTTGTATTTGTTTATTGACATAAACAACTGGAAATATATCACCTTTTACTTGCCTGCCCTGCCATTAAAGGCTAGTTGTCACACTTTTCGTACTGAGGAAACTTATTGTGTGATTTCGTTTCTATGGCTACCCATTGACTATGTTCACCTGTGTCTGGTTTAGTATTTGTCACGATGTCCAGTTTTGCACAACAGCTGTAACGGTTATTTAAAAAAAGACTACATTCTCTCATGTGCCTTATCGTTTATGTTTCCATTTTTATACTTGATTAGCAAAATAAGTAGTGTAGGAGATGTCCATCATTGCCTGTTCTGCCATAACAGGCTTTATTTTTGAAACATTGAAACATTTGTTATATTCATGTAATGTCGAAAAGATTGTATTTACATTAAATGAATCATCTATATTGACTGTCAGTTTATTTAATTTAACTGACAAATGGTTTGTCATTAACAAAAACAAATATAAGATGCATTTCATTAATTTTGCTTCGGTTAAGCCTTTATTTCATAGATCACCACAGTGGAATAAACCAACAACTATTTCGGCATATATGTTTAATGCAGCAAATGCCCTTCCAGCTGCAACCCAGTACTGGGAAACACCCATACACACCCATCCACACACTCATACATTCATTTATTTTCTTTACGGCTTAGTCCCTTTATTAATCTGGAGTCGCCATAGCGGAATGAACTGCCAACTTATCCAACATATGTTTTCCGCAGCGGATACTCTTCTAGCTGCAACCCATCACTGGTAAACACTCATACACTCTCATTCACACACATACACTTCAGACAGTTTAGCTAACCCAATTCACCTATTGCGAAAGTCTTTGGACTTGTGGGGGAAACCGGAGCACCCGGAGGAAACCCATGCATACATGGGGAGAACATGCAAACTTAACACAGAAATGCCAACTGGCCCAACTGAGGCTCGAACCAGCGACGTTCTTGCTGTGAGGCGACAGCTCTACCCACTGTGCCACTCAACCTGATCTCACAAGGAAGCGTAAGTATTTTACGTTTTGTCAGTTTAATGGCTAATTCTTATGAATTCATACGAGTTCAGTCGTACGAAAATGCACGATTTTAAAAAGGAGGCGTGGCACCTAACCCCACCCCTAACCCCAACCGTCATTAGGTGATAAGCAAATCATACTGAATTGTACGAATTAGATTGTACAAATTCATACGAATTAGCCACTAAATCAAAAAGTTACGAATTGCCGTGAGATTGTGTTGTGCCACCACGTCGCCCCACACACTTATACTTTACTGACAATTTACTTTATTTAATTCACCAATAGTCCATGTCTTTGAACTGTGGAAGAAACCGGAGAACCCAGAGCAAACCCACGCAAATAAGTTGCATCTACAAAATACAATGTTTTTGTGGAGCTACAGTAGAATATTTGAGGATTACATTTACTGCACTTTTAAAAACTGAATTCTAAAGAGCTAAAACACAACGATGCACATTGTTGAATATGTTGTGGATGTAGAGTATGAAAAAGAATGTCATGTATAGTCCTTTTGATAACATTAAAGTAAACAAACAACCACAACAAACATCCTGCAGCATTTAATCCTAATCCGTTTCTCTCCTCAGCAATCTACTGTCTGGTTTATTCACTTCTCATCATTTTTTTACCACAGTACATTGTCCATGATTTATTTAGTACAGGACTGTAAATTATTTTCTTCTGTGTTTATGTTAAAATGGGATTACTGTATTAGATAAAATAAACGACTGCAGGCACGTTCTCTTCTGCTATGCTGTCACAAACTAGCTGTCACTCCTGCACTGAAGAAAAAAACTCCAGCTCTGGTCACTGTGTTGTCATGGTTACTGTTAATTAATTTTCTCAGATTTATTTTTTTAATTCCTTTTTTTCATTCACAACACCGAGTTCACTACTAAAGCGCTTGTAATCGAGGCATCTTGTAGCAAATGTCATTAATGATTTAATCTAAAGCCTGACAGAGAGAGAGAGAGAAATAAAGGCGTCCTCACACAGAAACAAACTTAATAGGTCACATTTCTGCAAAAGGGTTTTCTGACCTGTGCAAAACTTTTTGAAGGAATATTTCACCTATAGAGACTGCACACATTAAATGTAAGCCGTTTTTCTTTTGTTAAAAGCAAGTTTTCATCAATCAGGCTCCTACAGATGTTAATCAAAATGTCACCGTTTCTATAGCTTACCGACAGCTTTGTCCAGATGAAGGACATTTCAGTAATGAGATGAAGTAAACCGAATGACCAGTATAGATGACTCATAATCCCACTGGATAATAAACACTGAACCGCTATTACCCGTAGGCCAGAGTGCAAATTATACATTGACTTTTTTTTGGTCAACTTTTTCGGTAATGTTACTGTAATTTGTGTAATACAAGCTTCGGTCATGTGTTTATTAATTTAAATTACATCTAATTTATTAATTAAATGTATTTAAGTGTTTAGTGTTTTGAAGGATATTTAGTGTCGGACCTACAGTATCCTCTGATCAGGGGCGAACTAATCCAATAGCGAGGCAAGCAGCCGCTTGGGGCCCTGGGGAATTAAGGGGTCCCGACCAACGCCAAGAAGCCTAAATTAATCATGTAACTCTTTTATACATTTCCTATTGTATGTTGTAAACTTTGTCTATAACTGTTAATATTTTAAAGTTAATACTTTCTTTAAAACTGGGACCCCCAAGAATAATGGAATGTCCCTTCCATACTGCACATGCACGAGGTGTGAGTGCTTCAATCAATAGAGTATATGCGGAAGGATTTTTAATTTGTCAGTTACCTGGGTTAAGCGCTTCCGGTGAACAGTTTGCCATTACAAAATCGGCGCGTTTAAGGACTGTTTTCTTCAAAAATCAGCGATCTCCACTGGCTGAGTGATATCCGATATAAAGTGGGTTTCAGATTGTACAAGAAGCACTGCATTTAATTACATTTCTCCCCACCATGTCATTAAAATATTAACATTTATTTTACCCCATATTTAATAGAGCTTCTGCGCTAGCCTGTCAATCCTGATGGGCACATGCAAGTAAACAGCTTTTCGTCTCGTTTTTACGCTTGAGCAACTAAGTGAATGCCAAATTCTATTTAACTGATTATATTTTAATTACATTACAACATGGATGCTGTAAAAGGAACTGTATAAATGGAAAAAAGTCACATTAACCGTTCACCGGAAGTTTATCAGTATGGGAAGAAACACAAGCTATATATATTTATATATATATATATATATACCCTATACAATGCCAGCCAGTGTTGCCAACAATTTTCAGACCCCCCAGCGAAAAAGTTACTAGCGAATATTTTTGTGTTATTGGAGATTTTTAGAGACTCATGTGTCCATGCTGTACCGTTCCTAACAGTACTCTTTACTACAAGCTGCGGGTGATGCAATTGGCCTCTCCCACACCTCAGAGCACTCAAAGGTAGCACAGTGCCACACAGCCATCTCGAACAAGATTGGACACCCCTGCTACATAGTTTGTGAACTTGCTTTTTTTATTTGTGAATTTAAGCTCTAGATCTGCAGGTTTCAGACTGTTTAATGATTTTTTTTCTAGCATAGACTGATTGGTGCGATTATGGATTCACAGTATACTGACCATTATAGGGGTGGTCAAATGTACATTTATATTATCTGTTATTTTAATCATTAACATTATTATTTAAAATATAAAACTATTTCTCACTTAAATGGCTGACTTCACCATACATCTTGTTTTAATGTCCTTCAGGGGAGTCAAGCATTAATTAGGGGGTCAATCCACCCCAAATCCCCTAATTCGCACCCTGCCATAAGCTATGTATCTTTGTGAATCCAAAACAAGCTAAATACACGTTAAAGGAGTTCCCAGTATAATATTTAAAATAATTAAAACTATATATGCACTTGTACATTGGACATTGCCTAACTGTATATAAATATTAGCATATTGCTCTTCAAATCTCACTGAAGAACAGAAATTACAGCTCAATTAGCATAAGACTAAATTAGACATGATGTGAACCTCAAGAGACTAAGACGAGGTGTGAGTTTAGTATAAAGTAATTGACCGCACACATACGTCAGGAGTCGAGTGTTAATGGCTTTGCGTCACTTGAATATGTTAGCATCATCATTGTTTGGTAATTGGAGAGCCAGCCTGAGTGAGCGGAGCGCGCGAACGCTACAAATACAGGAACGCGCGCACACCTGCGAGCCTGAACACACAGAGAAGAACCTGAACAGCATCCTGTTAACACCAGCTCATACGAGTACTTGGATAAGGTATGGTCGATACTTCTTTTGTGCAAATTTAGTATGAAAGCAGTCGTTGGTTAGTGTTACCTAAGTGGTGTTTGGTGCAGGTGTGCGAGGATGTCCTGCGGCTGGCTGCTCGCGCTGCTCGTCCACGTGCTGCTGCTGCTCGCGTGCCCGAGACTCTCGCGGAGCGCCCTCGACTACTCCTTCACTGTGAGTTACACTTTAAAAAGATTGAACTTGAGGGAATTTTTATATCTAAAAATGTTTTATGACACGTGCCTTTTTACTATAGTGATTATAAGTCACTATATCTCCGTAAAAGTAAACGTATTATTTTCACTATACTGCTGTGAGTTTAATAAAATGTGTAAAATTTCATCAAAATGAATGAATATTAGCATCGTTTTGACCAGCATTTAACCGCGCGCGCGCGTGTGTGACTGGATTTATGAATAGGCTATAGTTCTCTCTCTCTCTCTCTCTCTCTCTCTCTCTCTCTCTCTCTCTCTCTCTCTCTCTCTCTCTCAAATTAAATTAAATTCATTAATTGCTTTATTGACATGACAGATGTTACAAATGTATAACCTAAGCATTAATAAAGTTTACATTAAAAACAATATACATATATTTAAAAAAACACAGTAAACACTGTAAATAGTATTATAGTATTATAATAAATAGTATAATAATAATGATAATAATAATAATAATAATAATAATAATAATTTAATACGAATACAAATAAAAAATAAATGAAATAAAATAATAATAAATCACAATAAACTGTACATGACCTTATAATGTTTGGAACAATTTGGTGTTTAAGTTACATTGTTTGCAGTTGTGAAAGAAAAGGTTTTTGATACTTTAAGGTTTGCATGAGATGTGTTGTGTTTAATTCTTGTTTTTGTATGTTTTATTTTTACAATTTTAATAAAGGGATGTAAAATGTCAAATCTCTCTATGTTTACACTTTAAAAAAATGCTGGTTTCTATCCCAGTGTTGGCTCAAAGAATGCAATTTAAATGTAGTTTACAAAAAATGGCCATACTTACAACGTTTTAAAAATACTTATAGACCTACACAGACATGTTACCGGTTTTTGTAAAAGGCCACATAAAAAAGATTTTATATGATCCATTAATGTGGTATATATGATATATTAATAAAAACCTTTTCAGCTTTAATGCATAACAAATGCTGCTGTATTTTGATTGTTTACAATGTTACAAAACTACCTTTGTTTGGATGAAAAATGTAATAAGCAATATAACAATATAATGTTGACTTATTTATGCTGTGTTTGATAATTTGCCAACTCAGACAGTCCACTGATACACACAGAACGTATATGGCCATGGCTAGAATTATCCAAAATGGTTTATTAAACCCATAATGGTTCTATTAATGTGATATCTGACTGTTAAATATGGGCTTAAATGGAGGTTCAGTCACATAACCAAATTACCACACACATGCAGAGTCTATTTTAATGAGATTAGGATATATTTTTATATTTATTTTTTTGCAATTAAAACAATATAGATTATTTTAAGGGATGCAAACATAATAATAGTAATAAATGATGATAATAAAATGTATTTCCTCTTTTACATTTTTAATTTCCATATCTGACGATCCAAAGAGGTTCACTTATTGATAAATAATGTTACGGCAGCTGTTTTAACATTAAAAAAATGATTGAATTGTCTCTTGTTACAGTTATGAAGTAGTTTGATATCAAGACAAGCAGGAAATGTTCATGGGCCAATGCCATTAACACATTAAAATGGTCTATGGCCAAACACCCGTAAGCTGTTACTTATCACTTATCTAGCAGTTTTTGTATCCTTAATGACCGTCACAGTGAGTCTGTGGTGTGTGCTATTAAGTCATTGACATTAGTGAGTCACACATGCATTGTGTTTATGTACAGGACAACAGCGACGCCCAGCCGGAGCGCTACGACAAACGATATGATGATATTGATTACGACAGTTTCGTCGGCCTGATGGGCAGGAGGAGCACAGGTCAGACACGATGACACCAAATGTACTTTTAATACAATTAAGTTTACAACAGTAAGCAAAGTTCAGGCAAACATGAAAAATAGTTACATTTTTTTCCTCAGAAAAGCGTTTAATGTTTGCTTTATTCATTTTCACCACAGGAATAAATCGTGAGGCACATTTGCCATTTAGACGTAAGTTCCCTCATCATTATCATGCTTAAATATGACTTTATTAAAGTGACATAGGCTATCAAGAGAATGACGAGAGCTTTGTTTGGTCTTTCTGAAGCGAATATGAATGACATCTTTGTCGGACTGTTAGGACGGAGAAACACTTTGTCGTGTAAGTGATTGGAGATTAATTGAATTCATTTTTCATTGTCTTTGTTCCCGTCACCATGTCATAGCCTACAAACAAGGAACTTTTCACATTTTACTACTGTTTGGATCAGAACAAAGGGATAGTTAGCATTTACTTACCCTTGTGTGGTTTCAAACTTACAGGAGTTTCAAATTATTTTAGTGTTCAACAGAAGAGAGAAACTCAAATGGTTTTTAAACAATTCAAGAGCGAGTAAACGATGAAAGAATTTTTGAGCGAAACAATCCCTCTAACACTAAAGTGAACGCACTGACCTCTAGTGGTCACCATGGGGACGGTAGGAAATGAAAATCCTTCAAGATGCCAAGCCTTACATTATTTGTGTTTTTACTATCAGCTATGAGAAAAGAAAGGAGAGGGAACATTTTCTTCAAGGATGGAAGACTGAGGTGAGTTTGATTATTGAATAATTATTGTGGTAAGTTGTTGTATTTGGTGATTGGTTGTAATATTTTACTTTGTTTTTTATTAAGGTTTTGCTGTGGTGTATGAAGCTTTCTCTACGAACTAATCCAACATCACACACACACACACACACACATGCGCGCGCGCACACTCACACACACTCCACATTTCATCCATTTTAGTATTCTTTTGGCTAACCTTTGGTACAGATTTAACCAAACTTGTGTCAAATAAATCTTTTTAAATAGTTTCTTAAGTAATAACAGTCCTGTTGTATTCAGATGAATGAAGATTAAAGCATGTTGGCCATAATTTGTGCAATATTGTGCTTGTAACTTTTCAATTTAAAAACATTCATATTTAAAATGCTGTAAAATATTTGATTTTATTCATCGATAATACGACAGTTTACTGTAAAATAAGTCTTTATTTTAAGATGCTGGTTATCATTCCTCAGTAACACACTTTTCCTCACACACTCTTTTATAAATAAAAGATTGCTGTGGATTTACTGTACAGGAGTCTTTTGTAGATCACTCTCACTATCCTTTGGCTTAGTCCCTTATTCATCAGGGGTCGCCACAGCTAAATGAACCACCTCCTTTTGTAAATAAAATAATCTTTTGAGAGACAAAAAAGAATAAGGAACACGTACACCTTTAGAACAAAGACAAGGGCGAAACGCAGATTTGCTTTAAAAGGGTTGGAAAGGTCATTTGCATCTTCCTGGTGGTTTTGATGTTCCCAGTATGACCAGTTCTACTTCGTTATATAATCAAGAACACAAAGTTTTAATGTGCCTTCTTAGTCAGTGCAATTCCTCACTTGGCCCAAAGAGATGTAATCAACAGATCTACTGCTTTAGAAAATAATTTCCTTGTTTTGTTTAGTATAGTGGAATGTTTACTACAGAATTTTTCTGTCATCATTCTACTGAAGTATAGTTAGATTAACTGCAAAACGAAATAATGGGAATGTACTAAATCTATTAGATCAAACTTGCCCTCAGGGGTGTTTCAACTGTAAATCAACAAAAGAACAAAGAATATGACAAGCATTTCCATTATTCTGAGGCTTTCAGAGAGACCGAACCAACTGAATTCTTACCATCCATGTGTAATTAAAGCTTTTATTAAACAAACCCATTCATGTTTAATCAAAACCCTTACACATTCCCTTCATTTTAAGATGTACACAGAATTACATTATGGTATTAAAATAGACAATTTTATAAGAATATATATATATAAATCTTGCAACACCTTAATGTATTTGCTCTTTGATCAAGTCATTTCAAAACCTTTTCGTTCTACCACAAATGCAAAAGTGACTGTGCAGAGTGGTCAAAAATTAAGAACAGAACTCTGCTTCAAATAAGTTTATTCATTAAATAAACTTTATTTGAAATCCTTCATAATGGTGGCAATGTCAAAACTAAAAGCGGACAGTCAAAACCTTTTCAAGTGCAAATGAAAACTCATTAGATGGAGTCTGAGCACTGATGCCTCTGTTTATAGGAATATTCATTCATTCAACTTTTTGCTTAGTCCCATTAGTAATCAGGGGTCACCACAGCAAAAGTTTTACACAGCGGATGCCCTTCCAGCTGCAACCCATTACTGGGAAACATCCAAACACACTCATTCACACACATACTCTACAGCCAATTTAGTTTATTCAATTCACCTATAGCCCATCTCTTTGGACTGTGGGGGAAACCGGAGTACCCGGAGGAAACCCACGCGAACACGGGGAAAACATGCAAATTCCACACAGACATGCCAACTAACCTAGCCGGGACTTGAACCAGCAAACTTCTTGCTTTGCGGTGACAGTGCTAACTACTGAGCCACCGTGTCACCTTGTTTTATGCAATTATTCTCCACAAAATGAACATTTGCTCAATATTTACTCATCCTCAAGTGGTCCCAAATCATTGAGTTTCATTATTTGGTTAAACACAGAAACATCCATAGTAGAAAAAAAATGTTTAGAATTCTTCAAAATATCTTCTTTTGTGTTTAACAGAAGACACCCAGAATGCTTTGAAAAAGTAAAGGGTAAAGATGTGAACAATCCCTTTATCTCTCCACTTTATCTCAGATCTTGCCAAACTGAAATAGAAAGCCGATCTGAAAGGTGAATCTTAAAAAGGTCCTTTCTGAAACATTACCAACACCAGCACTTTTAAAGAGAAACTTTAACCCAGTATCTAAACTGTCATCATTTAGTCAGTTTGATGTCTTTAAAGAAAACCTTATTAGAAACAGAAATAAAATATAAAGGAAGAGAAAGTTTGATTGACAACATGTACATGACTATATCATCATATTTGGGTGAACTGTGCCTTAATGCCTTACTAACTGAGAAATCGAGACTGAATCATTTTCCCCACTTTAGACAAGCGTCTACATCAGCTGTAAAACCAACGTTTTTAATCTCGCCCTCAGACTGCTGGAGTTGTCGCCACACTGGGGTTTGAAATGAAGCAAATCCTCTCAATCAATCCAAAACAACAAAAACCTTCAGTCACACTGCAGGTAATTAAATAAAGCATTGTGTGGTCTGAAAAAAAAATCCAATAATTCACAGGCCGCATGCTTCACAGCGTGATACACTACACCACTCATCTGCAAGACCACGATTCCCATTAGTTTGGTGAAAGAAAAACAGTGTTTACTTAAGCCGGCTTATCAAGCTCTGTTTTATCGTTCACAGGTGCCACATGAACTATTGGGCTAGCCAACAGGATCTTAAAAGTAGTAATAAATCAATAAACTTTCTGATATTCATTCTAAAATCAGCTGAGGGACTACATTCTGTTTGTTTTTTTTACTGACACCAGCTTAAAGGGATAGTTCACCCAATTTTGTTTTTTTTTAATTCCTCATCATTTCTTCTTCCTCATGTGGCTTTAAACATTTATGAGGTTTCCTTCTTCTGCTGAACACACATGAAGATATTCTGATGAACACTGCACTCAAAAATGGCTATAATAATTTAAAATGAGCTGAAATAACTCTGTTTTTTGGGACAACTTGAATGGTTTATCTTCAATCCACTTAAATTTGCAAAATAGATTAAGTTCAACTAATCAATTTGTGTTGTGACAACATGAAGAAAATGCATGGTACCCACTGGAATCCAAAAAGGGGTTTCATAAGTGAATAATGGCAGACTTTTCTTTTTTTGGTGAACTATTCCTTTAAGTAAATGTACAAGTTTAACTCTGGAATAAACCCTACTGGAGCTTGAATGTTTGCAGGATGTAACATCCATAGTACAAGCCGCTCAGTGTTTAAATATGACCTAAACTAAATATAAATACATACTGAAGTGTGTAATTAAAGAGGCACTAATTAGGGAATGATCACATGAAAGGAAAACCAAAGCCACCTTCTTCAAATGGCATTGTTGTTACATACAGTAAGTAGCATATGTGCTTATGATTACACATTTTATATATAAACAGTTATAACTGAACGCCAAGTGTAACGAATGCAGAGGCATTATTGTTTGTTGTTATTGTACTATTAAGGCAGGCTCATAGACTACACGTCAACCTTCATATCATACAATTCAGCACTGTCATATATATTTAAACATTCACATACAAATGCATTATCAAGAGGAAAAACCCTCCCAAACTGTACCAATTGCATTCAATCAAACAAATAAGTCGTGCACACTTTTCTGTCGCACATATACAGGAGACGATATCCAAAAACAAAAAAGGGGGGTAAGACATCCCCAAAAATAGTTTGTGTGTGTGTGGAAGAGTTGGAAAGTTTCCATTTTGTCAAAATAAGCTGCTATAACTTGTCGTTAAGTTCAGGGGATTGGTTTTCCTCTTCCTGTGCTTCAACCTTGTCCTTTTGCTCCAAGACTCGAGTTTCTACTTTCTCTGGGGCTTTAACATTGGGTTCAGGGGGCTGATAGCGATATTTGTAGCCAAAGGCACGCAAGTGGTAAGTGTAGTATTCCAGCAGGTACATGTGCGACGCATCCACATAGTGGAAAGAAACAGCCAGGTCTGAGCAACACTGTGGGCCCTGAAAGACAGAAATACTGATTATAAAAATGAAGGAATACCATATATAAATCTAATTGTTATTTATCCCCTATAAACTTTTATTTTTAATCCATAAAGTTGCTATTAGCATGAAAAAGTCCACTTTAGGCATGGGACGATAACCGGTTTCAAGGTATACAGCTGTTTGGAAAAGGTTTCAAAACCACTAACATTTCTGTTATCTCATATATGTAAGGTTTTTTTATGTGTTGGAAATAAATCTGTTTTTGAAACCAATGAAGACAGCAGAAGTCAATGATTCATTTGAATTATTTAGTCTGACATCTTTACTGCTCCAAAATATTATACATGTTTTTTCCCCCAGACATTTAAAAAGCACATTTTAAAATATTTTTTCAGTAATCACAATATTGTGATACCGTGAAACCGTGGTATTTTTATCTAAGGTTATCATACCGTCAGAAACTTATACCGGCCCACGCCTTGATGCAGTTATTCTGTTTCAGTAAGCAATGTTTCTCAACTCCCTCACATTCCTCAATTGTAGTCTTGAGTTTTCTTCCAGGAATGTACATGTCATAAAATACATCATTTAAACAACTCTCAAGCAACACGTTCACAAGACTGTCTGTAGCATGTTGTCACCATAGGCGTGTCCCAAATCGCATACTTGTGCACTATTCTACCCCATATTGTAGTATAAATAGTTCAAGTAATGCATTCACACTGAAAACCCTAAAAAGAATAAGTGCACTTTAAATACCCAGATGCACTATTCAACCGTTAAAAAGAAGTGTGGAATGATGGACACTTCAAGCACTTAACAGGGGCAGAGTTTTCAGGCACTGATGTTGTGAAAGCTAAATTCTCCTACAAGAGTGATTGTAACGTCTCCTGATGGTGGATGTGGTTACACTTACGGCAGGTGGTATCTGGTAGTTTATTTTGTCATTTATTTCGCTAATTTGACAACCATCAAACTTCATCAGGGAAACAGTTTGAATTTTCGAATAGTAAAAAATGTTAAGTGTTCCATTTGGGATGACACTACATG